ACTACCACCACCCAAACACAACTACCGCTACAGTTACCACCATTAAAGCTCTACCATTGCTACTACTACTACCACAACTACCAACATCAAATCGGAATTACCACCACCACCACCCAAACACAACTACCGCTACAGTTACCACCATTAAAGCTCTACCATTGCTACTACTACTACCACAACTACCAACATCAAATCGGAATTACCACTACCACCACCAAAACACAACTACCAGCATCACATCGCAGCATTGCTACAGCCCCAGCACCTCGTACATGGCCACTACAACCACTATGGCTACAGCAGTGCTCTCACCTATTCCCTTCCTCATCTATATGTATGTTAAATCTGACATATCCACAAATAGTAGCCTTCCACAATAAATAGGTCCACAATAAATAAATGATCCCTCCACATTCCTCACACTGTAGATCAATAAACTTAATCAAATACTTTGTAGTTCAACTTGTTGAATACAAAATGAGCTTGGGAATTATTTCCTGTTCTTGGTGGGTATCTGATTCCATCCAATTCGGCAGACGTCATCGTGGGCAGCCTTCCATCAGAAGACTCACCACACAAGAGGCTGAGGGGTAGGAGTTTGTAACCACTTTCTCCCAAAAGGGTCACTGGTAATGGGTATTTTATTTCTTTGGTGTATATTGCTTTGAATACCTTCTTCAGAATACAAATAACATTGTTTAGTGGAAGTCCTACCAGTTCCATTAATAATATATAACTTGTCTGAATGGCTGAGTCTGGCTTGCAAGCTGTGAGAGGTAACTCTACTGTAGCACCAGTATCTCCAGTGAACTTGACTCCGTTCTTTTTTATATTCTAATGTGAAAGAGTTCATTCAGAATCAGCTGTGTTTGTGGAGATGTTTTGAGGCTGTTGAAGGGAAGTTACTCTGTAGGTTCGTTTTAGCTTGCTTGAAACATTTGAATGCACATGCATTTGAGTAGATGATATAGGAAGGGGATGAAAAATACATCAACCAACACAAGGTGATGAAACGGAATAAAAATACATCAGCCGTCCAACTTGTCTTTTTATTTTCAGTATTATCCTGACAATCGTAACTGATGGAGAATATGTCAGATTGAAGGTGATAAAAGTCACCTCCTCATTGACTAGATGTCTGTATTGATTTTAGTATTATTTTGGGATTTTTATACCCTGACCTAAAACAGCAAGGAATTCCGTTCATCTGAAGACATTTTGTTCGACCAGTAATTTGAAAACAAATTTGGAAAAGAGCTTCTTTGACTAAAGATGGGGTGCATTGCAAAGTTTGGTTCACATTTTCTAATTTTTTAAAGAGTTGCATCATTTTACACGTTTTGAACTTTAACAAAACCCAAGGGAATTTTTGTTCAACCAGTAACTTGAAAACATTTGAATGTATTTTTTTCAAAATTGGAGATCACCCTCCATATCTGTAGGAGAGGTGTAGTGTAAAATTATATTTTGATGTTTTTAATAAATTGAGAATGATCACAAATTACATCTCTTGTACTCAGGAAAAAAGTCCCACATGAAATTTGTTCAACTGATGACTTTACAATCATTTAATGGATTGTTTAAAGATTTGGGTAACAGCTTCTTTGTTCATAGGAAAGGTGCGGTGCAAAGTTTGATATGTTGAATTGTATTATTGAATAATCATTATTAATAATCGTTGTGAAGCTGAAGTCGGGAGTTACGGTCAGGAGCATTAGTGAACCTTGCTGACATTTATGCTTGTTTTTGTTGATTCTCTGTACACTCTAGTGCATGAGTATTAATGGCAAGGAAATCAGAAAAGTCACTTTTCCAGCATCCATTTTGCCATTAAAAGGTTTCAGTTGATAATGAGTAGTAAATGCTTCGGAGTACTAGCATGTGTGCTAATGAAGCTTTCATGTTCGTTAGTGTCGCTATCCCAATGTTAAGAGTATTTGGACGAATAGATTTGCTTCAGATGATATTCACTCTGTGTCCTCGGAGAAATTTGATGAGAAATGATTCACATGTTCAATTTACTTGGATATTCATTGGTAATGACACGGATACTGTGTGCCTTTAAAGCAATTCTTTTGTGTAACAGTTTTACCCATTTGTTCCTGAAATCACCTTAAAAAACTTCCATTCTTATACATCTTTCTGAGAGTTGCCAAATTCTGCTCCATGTTTTGAAAGTAACTTAAGTCTGTTCTTGATAGTTTTCCCAAGACAATGGTAGTCTGCATCAGTCAGTGGTAATCTGCGCCAGTCAATGGGAGCCTGGTCTAGTTTGTCACAGTCTGCATTAGTCAATGGTAGTCTGCTCCAGTTTGATATTCTATTTCAGTTAATGGTAGTCTGCAGAGGTCAATGATAGTCAACTCCTTTTTGTTGTAGTCTGCTTCAGTTTGAAGTAGTCTGCTTCTGTTTTTTGTAGTCTGCTCCAGTTTAATATAGTCTGCTCCTGTTTGATGTAGTCTGCTCCTGTTTGATGTAGTCTGCTCCAGTTTGTTGTAATCTGTTCCAGTTTGTTGTTGCAAGTTGTTAGTTATTTTGCAGGGAGTTATAAAAGAGCTGTGTTGGGGTTGATTCTAATTGTCTGTTCACCTTTCTCACAATAGCTACTGTTGAAGTTTTCATCAGTGAAATGAAAGAGTAAGCCTGGAAACAAAAATAGGAAATGTTGTTCTCTCTCAATACCTTAAGTAGTATTGTCATACAGACGTTTGGACATCTTGAACAGTCAAATAATGTTGTGATCATTATTAAACAAATTGATTATTTGCTTTGAATGAATGGTTCAATTCTATGAAGTATTGATGTGTTCATCTGGGGAATAATTTTACAAAAGAAGAGATCAGAATTGTGATTTGTTCTAAGGAAGCTGTTAATTGGTTGAATGAATGACTGAAAGCCTTGTTTTCATGAATAAAATCACCATTTCATTCATGTCTAAAATTGGTTTTGTACTTCATCTATTTCTAACGTACAAAGTACATGAAATAATGAATGACCCATGTTGGTGGTAAATACAGATATAAAGACATGTCCTAGTTTAGTTTGTAGATGCATTGTCTGTGTTGAAAGAGTTCCTGATTATAGGAAGACCTATTTTTCTCTGAAGATTTGTTTCACAAACAGCTAAATGAAGTTCCTGCTTTAATGGTATCAACCACTACAGGGTGTATTTCAGTATGTTTAAAACAATCCAGTAAAACATTGGAGCACATGATTACAAAAACTTAATAGTCATTTTGTTGATATGATGGCAAATTGTTTCTCAAAATAGCTCCCGCGTCGGTAGATTCACAGCGGGAGTTGTATAGTCGTGTGACCACAAAGAGCCAACTACTCTAAGAGGACATAGCTGACGCAAAATATATTGATTATTTCGCATACGCAAGATTAAAGAGAATCTGTCGCCGTACATGTGCGCTGAAGAGGCTCGGCCTCCCACGTGACGAGGTGGCTTGGAGTAGGTTCTCAAAGTATGACTGTCGCCTTATTCTCTGACATTTATTAAATTAGCTGACCACACGAAGAAACTGGGCATTATATGTGCGAACATAAAATATGTAATGACATTTAGTGTCATCGGTCAGAATTACCATTGGGTTGACAGGGGGTGGTATTAATCGCCGTAGGTTGTGGGTAATTACAGATATAGAATGAGATTAGTTGTGGATCGGGATGGCAAATCAATGGACCAGCATATTTCACTCTACAGCAACACCCACGATGCTTTTGTTTCTAACCGAGCCTCCAGTCATGGGATTGACATGGCCAACTTCCTGTTAATTTGTGTAGTAGAGTTATGGTGGTGGCAGCGCAAACCGTAATGATGTCGTGAGTGTGTATATATATATCTTGTGTCGTCAATGTGGGTATTTGTAGTGTCACGTCGGTGTGTGGTCAAAAAACATCAGTCGTGTGATCAATTTTGTATCTAAGGGATATTTGGCGTCACGACAGTGAGAGTGTGGGTCAAGAAACATCAGTCTTGTTTAAGTAAGTATGACTGCTTTCTTGCTGGTGTGTGAGAATTTTGTTTGTTTCTTATTTAATGCCACACACAGCAATATTCCAGCTATGTGACGGCAATCTGTAAATGATTGGGTCTGGACCAGATAATTCTTTTATTAATGTCGTGAGTATCGATTATACGCAAGTGGGGTGCAGTGACCACCCGATCCGTTAATCGCCTCTTTCGACAAGTATGGATTGTTGAAGATGTGTTCTTAACCAGAACTTCACGGGTCGGAATATTTGAAAGTGTAAGATCTTTACACAGTCTTTGATGTACTTGTTTTGAATGTAAAGCTGTTTTTCGATAAAGGGAACATGTATGAGGTATACACATATGGATGTTAGTCTAGGTTGAGGATGAAGGGTTGTGGAGTTGCTTCCCTTAGGCATCTCAGGAACCTATTGTCATGGATTCTAATCCTGGTTGGCTTGAGTGTTTCTAGGTTTGTCTATACAATATATGTGCTTGTGTGTTTCACCAAAGTAGTATTTGTCTAGGTCCTCATCACTGACAGGGGTGGTTAGGTAGCCTAGCGGTTAAAGCGTTCGTTCATCACACCAAAGACCCAGGTTGGATTCCCCACATGGGTAAAATGCGTGAAGCCCATTTCTGGTGTCCCCCACCATGATATTGCTGGAATATTGCTAAAAGCGGTGTAAGAACAGGTTACTGTCCATGTATTAAGAATTGAATTGACAGAAATTCCACAAAAGATACCTTTTTGGCACCTGATAGAGATAAGCGTTGTGTTTCAGTAACAAGAATTCTCTTTGTGGTGCCGCAAAGCTTTATGGCATAGTACTTAGGGATGCAGAATATTTTTCTTTCCAAGAGTAACTTTTTTGTTCTAATTATTCTTTTGTCTCTTTCTGCTGCTAAAATGGGGCTTCAGTAGTCATAGTGATGAATGAGTATGAATAATGTTGCCTGGCAACTAATGGCTAGGAGTTTTGCTCACAGCGTTAACCACTCATTTGATGATATAGGCCAGTCTTGGTTAGGCCAGACCACTTTTATTTCTTCTTACAGATTTTTGTACTAAAAAAACCTAAAGGCAGGAGGGAAGAAAAATAAAAATAGATAAATGCTAAAAGTATTTTACTTTTGGAAATTTATAAAGTGTATATGGGGCAAAACACAATCTAAAAGAAACCTCTTTTCTTGTAAATTTACATTTTTGACCAATAAAACCCCCAAAACATTAGGATTTTATTTTTAGAGCAGGGAAATTTTTTTTACTTTTATTTTGTTTCTTATTCTTGATAATATACGACAGGTGGATCCGTAAAACAAGAAATAAAATTGGTCTGGCCTTACTCTAGAATTACAGGCATTATTCACACTGGTGTCTGATGATTCAAGAGACAATGTAATAATATATGTAAATTTGGTGAAGGGGTATGGTTTGCTTGTAATTACCAAATCATTTCCACCTTGTATTTGTCTGCAACATTAGAAACCATTAATGTTTTGAGCAGTTTTTCAGTTTGTTTCTTGTGCGAAGTATGTTTAATTTCAACAAACTTAATATAAAGATAATCTCACTCACATTGACTTTTATTTGAACAACAGCATGAAGCTTGTATTTGATAGCATGCTTCTTTATGTAGTTATTGACATCCTAGAACCAATATATTGTAGCTTGTCACAATGGACATCCTGGTGTATGAGGGACGGATGCAGAAAACCAGGCTTTCATGCTGAATATGCACTGTATAGGTACTAGTTGAAGCAATCGATAAGTCGACAGCTATAGCTGTGTGTATGTACAGCCAACAAATACTCTTCCACTTGCTGCCATTGTCGGTGAATGTAAATCATTTGGACTTTATGAATTGATTTTTTTCTAGCACATTCATGAAGGAATAAGTGAACCGCCCATAGTTGTGTATATACAAAGATGTACTTTGGGCTGGTCCGGCTTGAAGCATGAATGGATGGTGCACTGACGAAGCTAGGAGATCGATTCGGGTTTTATGTAGTCAGCAATATCTAAAGGTAGTGGTGTACAAAGTGTAATTGCACCAAGCCAAGTTCCCTTGAGCGTTTGTGGCGCTGTGACTATCAAAAGTCAGTGATAATGGTTATTGGAATTATCGACAGTCGTCCTATGATCACTTTGTGGAAACAGATCTTGATCAACAGACAAGTTGATGGCTGGCAAGAGATGAACCGTGTTGTGGTTGAAGAACTTGGTTACTGATGTACGTTCTACCCATTAGGACGATAAACCACACAAGCACAGTAGCCATTGTTCTCCACAATACCCTTTATAGTCAGATGTGTAATGTTTCCCTGTAGACTAATGCAGAGTTGCCCCGATCCAACAAATGGTTGTGAGGTGTCGCCATCTTCAGAAAACTAAGTTCAAGTTGATGGGGTCAGACAGGTTATATTATCCTGTGAATTTGTCATCATTACAATTTGTCAATGGATCATATGTAATACTTCTGTAGTTATTTTGGACCTTGAACTTCGAACTCTCCAGACACTCCCAGTCTATTCCCAGCTCTCTGTCATCATTTCAGATTCTGATCACATCTCGTCCTCTATTGCAGAATGCCACCAGTTGGCGTTTCTGCACGCTGTATATAACTCAGTGTAGCCTGAAGGAGAAGTCCTAACTGTGTGCCAGCCTCTTGGCAACGGCAACCATCCCATCAACGTAGTCTTCATTTCAGGTCCTGATGGTTGCTGTCAACGAGTAGCTTGCTTTAGGTGCTCCTAGTCTGTCTGCTGGCATGCTGTATGTTATGTACCATCTGTTGGCGGAAGCCTTTCTCATAACCAACTTGTTTCATCAACTCTGCTGAAATTTTGTTTATGTGTTTCGGGCCATTTTTGATCTGATTTGTACATGTTGTTTAGTCTGGTATTGTGTGAAAGCCATAAAGAATGTTCACGTTCATCTCCATGTTAAAATATGGGTGTTTCGTGAAGGGGAAGGTTATGGTTGTTGGTCTAGAAAGTACCGGGCAGTGGGGTAGCCTAGTGGTTAAAGCATTCGCTCGTCACGCTGAAGACCTGGGTTCGATTTCCCACGTGGGTACAATGTGTGAAGCCCATTTCTGGTGTGCCCCACCATGATATTGCTGGAATATTGCTAAAAACGGCGTAAAACTCAACTCATTCACTCTAGAAAGTACCAGAGAGCCATCTTAGATCTGTTGTCTAACTGTGATTGTGTTTGGTGTTTCAGGCCCTGATGGTCAGTCCCTGCTGTGTTCCGAGTCTCTCTCCTCCACACCACCAAGTGATGACACGCAGAGGCTGTCACAAGATAGAGATCCTTCAGCCTGGAAAAAATCCGACCTGCTCAAAAACCGCAAAGTACCCCTACAGTACGCTTTGATAGTCTCAAATGATCATCCTGCTGGTGGCCAACTTAAAGCGCTAGGTAACAACGTCCATCCACAGCATATACAAGTTGTTGCAGACAAGGAGAATAACATTGACAGTGGGGTCGTGGATGGGCTTCCACACAACAATGAAGCTCATGCAGACAATCGCATGAACTCAAATGGCTTCGAAAGGGCTAGAATGACCGGTGGCACACCGTCAACCAACGAAAATCTGGTATGGTTAGCCGATGTTGCTGTCAGTCAGAACCAAGCCCAATCGCGGCCTGCTGAGGGCATGATAAGTGGCAGGTCATCACAGAACCAAGGTCAAGGTCAAACTCAAGAATCCCAGCAAACAATGCTTTCTGCAGGAGCGTCTGTTGGCAGCGTGTTTCGTCCGTCTCTCACTGAACCGTCTCAGCGTCTCCTCGCCGGCGGGCAGTATATGAGTGGAGGTGGCAGTGCCTCATCGCTTGGACAGTATTCCCCCTTGTATAGTGTACACGGTCAACCCTCGCATTTGACTGCCTCTGTTCCCCAGTTTAGTGCTTTCTATCACCAGTACCCGCAGAGTTACCCCCAGTCAGCTGCCCTTATAGCTGGTCACTATCCACATATAGAGTCATACTCTGCTGTGCTCGCCAGCATGGGCAGCCACGTTCAACATGGTGGCCATTCACAAATACCTCGGTCACCATACATGCCCAGTGGACATATACCTCAGTATTCGGTCCTGGGATCCCATAGAACAATGCCGTCTGCCAGTTCCCCTGGACCAAATGCCACTCATCATCAACAATCTGCTCACCCAGCAGGGACTGTAAGTCTTTCAGGTGGAGAATCTCTTGTGTCGCCAAAACTAGAGTCTCAAGAAGGTGAAGGTCGTTGCCATAGATCGGGCTCCACCAGCAGTTTACGTGATGAAAAGGGGTCCAATTTGTCCCCAAATACGGGACACTCATCTGTTAAAGGTTTAAATGTACGAGAATCGCCAAAAGGGTTTCTTGACAAAGACTTTTATAAAGTACCAAGCGGGAAAGAGGGGAGTTTGAAACACAGAATACTTACCCGGCCCCAGGACAGTCAGTTGGAAGGGTCACATATAGATGACTCCAAATACGCATTACCTGGCAAACATGATGAGCCTTTATTGAAACGAACAAAGTTTAGTTCCTACTCAGGGATGCCCTCCTCTCACTCTTCAGCAGCCCATTCTCGGGGCCAGTCTGAATCTGTGTCCCATGGACTCGGCCCTGGCCCCCCCAACGCAGCCCGAGTGTCCCCCACACCCCAAACTTCATATCCCCCCTCACATCTGCATTATCCTCCCCACTTTATGAAAGGTTCTATCATTCAGCTGGCTAATGGTGAATTGAAGCGTGTTGAGGATTTACAAACAGACGATTTTGTGGTTAGTGCAGATATCAGCTCGGATCTCAAGATTGACTCCAGTACTGTTGTTCGGATTCAGGAACAGCCAGAGAGAGGCACAGCCATCCTCGGGTTTTCTGTTGGAGAACATCGGGTACAGGTGAGATAAAAGACCAATCATATTTATAGTGATTGTTAAGAAATCTAAAAACTCTATCGTTGTTGAGCCAAACATGCAGGAAATCCCAGTTCAGAAATGGTAGAAATTTGACATTTCCAACAGTTTCTTACATATGCTCACTATTGAGTTTAGCTTCAAGCAAAACAAGTCATTACCTCTTGTAAATAACATATCCCACATACCTTAGTCAGTGTTCAAATTATAGGTTTGGGACTTGGATTCACTGATTATGGCCCAAATTAAGCTGTCAGCGCTTTTCTCATACATGTGATTTAAACCAAAGTGAGAAGTGTCCAGGGCCAGCATTATGGTGCAGGGTTTGATTTAGCTATAAAACACATGCACCAGTACAACCTGTTTGTGAATAATGCAACCTGATATTATGTCTTCATGCACCAGGTATATGTCAAAATCTTTCCAATTTGCGGCAAACTTGTCAACGCCACATTGATCGTTGAACACATTCAGTTACCTTATTACACATCAAGATTCACCATTATTTGCATATTTCAACTTTGATAAATTTATGGGTCCAGGTGAGGTGAGGTGAAATTGGGTTTAACGTTGTGCTTGAGAATATTTTGCTCATATGACGTGCATGCGTGTGTATGTGTAAGTCGCGGCTGCTTGTACTAGCCCAGACTTAAGCTGGTTTTATAGTGCTAGCCCACTGAGATACCATGCCGCAGTGAAGCATGAATACCCCACTCAGACACATTATACTGACTCGAGCCGACCAGTCCTTGATGTACCCATTAATGCCGAGCGCCAGGCAGGGACCAACAAGTACCATATTTTAACGTCTTTTGGTATGACGCGGTCAGGATTGAACCCGCTACCTTCCGCTCTCTGGGCGGACACTCTTAACCACTACACCACGGAGGCGGTCTATGGGTCCAGAGTGCAACCTGTTTTTTTCTGGTGCAACTAGGTTTTCATGTCAACATGCACAGGTATAAGTTAAATCCAGTTTATAAAATTAAGCCCTCAAGTGTGCTAGCTGATATCACCATTTGGGATTCTAGGTTAGATTATGGGTCCCCAGCAACCAGTGTTGACTTATGGACTGGTGGATTGATTGTGTTATTGTGTCCCAGTACTGTAGACTGATGCTCATGATGTCAGTCACTAGGCGACTAACGGGAACGAGTGGTCAGGCTTGCTGACTGGGTTGACACATGTCATCATATCCCAACTGCGTAGATCGATGCTCATGATGTCAATCACTAGGCGACTAATGGGAACGAGTGGTCAGGTTCGCTGACTGGGTTGACACATGTCATCGTATCCCAACTGCGTAGATCTATGTTCATGCTGTTGATCCCTGGATTGTCTGGTCCAGATCCGATTATTTACAGACCGCCGCCATATAGCTGAAATATTGCTGAGTGTGGCGTAAAACAAACTCACTCACTCACTCACTCAATCCCTTGATTGTCTGGTTTAGAATTGATAATTCACACACTGCTATCATACAGCACGGACTGCCACTTTCAACAAAAAAATAAACATATTTCAAGATAGTTCAATTTTCATCTATAACGCAGCATAACAAACATACAATATGAAGGAGTGATGGTCTTATTTAATGATCAAGAGAACCATGTGCTTTATTTGGACTGAAACATGAATACTAGTTGTGTTTGGTCTACCTGGATTAACAAGAGACTGTCATCAATGACAGGGAATTATGATGACATATTTTTGCAAAACATTCTGTTTATTTTGGTGAACTGTGTATTCATTCAACACATTTGCTACCATAAAACAACATCTGTGAAGGGTCCGAGTCGTTAGATCAATGAATTTCCCAGCGCAGTTTGGCAGGTTGCCACTGTAGTGCAAGATGGTGTATGTACGTAGCTCATGTCACGCTACTGGAACTGAATGAACAAAGCAAGGAATGGGGGAAAGCCATTGAACCTAATTCAATGAGCAAATCAATTCTTGCCTTTCTTTCAATGCTGCATATTTTAGGCAGGTATTCCAGTGGAGTTTGTTTGCCGATGTCTGTATTTGCTGCGGTGGCTTTTGCCCATTATATGAATGGTAGTATTCTTGTCACATATCTGAGCAATGGTTTGAAATGTACAGCTGAAAATTACATTGATAGAATTTTATCAAAAGCAAGTGAGCATCTTCCAGGCAAGAGAGAAACTCTGCTTTTAGTAAGACCACTAGGGCACTTGATGTAGTGTTGGTTTGTTTGTTGTTTAATGTCGCACTCGACTCTATTTCTGCTATATGGCGACTGTCTGTAAATATTCGAGCCTGGACCAGACAATCCAGTGATCAACAGCATCTACCATAATTGGGTACATAATTGGGATACGATGATGTGTCAAGTGAGCCTTACCACCAGATCCCGTTAGTTGCCTCTTATGACAAGCATGGGTTGCTGAAAACTAATTCTGACCAGCATCTTTGTTGACATAGTGAGTGAGTTGGGTTTGATGGTTCTTTGTACAATATTCCAGCAACATCATGGATGGGAACACCAGGGATAAATTTGCAATTTTTTAGAAGGATACCGGTGCCACTGGGCACCAGACGGATAATTTTGGTGAAAATATTCTACACATGCCTTTGATATTCCAATTAAACTTATAACATCACAACAATTGTCATTTCAATTTATTGTTTAATAATTCAGTAAGCATCTTGTAAACCTGTAAACTTGAGAGCTGGATTTCCTGAACACTATCAAGACTGCAAGAATAGTTCAGCTTCATTTGTCCTGGACCCAGAAACTAGCCCACAAACTATGTTATCATCCAAAACGGGACTTCCTGTTATGCTCACTGGCATTCAAAATGGACACACCCATGTTAAGCTGTGAAATTGAAAGTACCACCGATAGATAATCTGTATGATGGGGTGGAAAAATAGGTTTTAAATCATTTGAGTTGATCGAATTTATCGCATATTGCATTAAACGAATCATGGTGAGTATTTTGGGGGTCCTTTCAGTCATGTCGCGAGGACATATTGAAAATATTTCAGTATGTGGCATGACACGCAAATGAAGCAATGGACATTCGAACTGGACATTCGGCATGATGAGTGTAAATTTAAACCACTAGGCTACCACACCGCCTCTGCATTCGTCAAAATGATGGAATGTACCTAAAGTGTCTAATGTCATTTGGATCTGCCATACCTAATCTATTATCATCCCTGTGACAAAACTTCCAGTGTACATAGTTGGATTAGATCAGCCTCAATGGGCTTATATATAATTTATGAAGTTATGTATTGCACAATACATTTCAAACTTCAAAGCAAAAATATCCTAGAATAGAGAAAGCTCAACTTTGCTGGTTTAGTTTATATAAAATACATACATTCCCCAATTCTGGTGAAGGAATAGAGCAATAGATGGCTGTATTTGGCTGTTTGGCCATTGCTTGATACTGGCCTTGAGTTGAAACATTTCTTTGTTTGTTGTTCATGAAATCTGCTGTTTGCCTGTTGTTAATTTGTAAAATGGTAACTCAGCCAAGCCCTATTGAAATCATTTAGTAATGTCCATTTGTTGTCAAGTCAACAGAGAAAGAGATGCCGTGTATTTGGAAAGAACAAATAACTGTTGTCTTTCTCAAACCTTTTACTGTTTACAGGGTTCAATGTTCTGTAGTTCAATATTAATGTATTTAGACAGGATAAACAGCTGAATAAATCTTTGACTCAGTGAACCTTCATTGATTGTCAATGAGAATATGAGGATTGACTGTGTGGTGTCAGTTTACATTTAAACATCAACTCTGCTACTCAACAGCGCCTAGTACACAGATGGTGAGTGTTGCGACATATTCCAAGACTCCCTATCTCATAATGGCCTCCAAGGAGTTCAGATGGTTTGTCGTTTGCCATTCTCTCATCCAGGATGCTTTTATTTTTGGCAATCTTAACCATCCAATAGGATTGGTGATTCTATTTCGGTCATTGCTGTCATTGACGAAAGTTTACAGTCTTTGATCGGAACCCATCAATGCTGTAGAAATCGAACATCTCCCTAAAGGCAGCATTCATTGATCGTGGCATCACCTACGTCTGATGGCAGCTCACCATTAGGCGGGGGCGGACACCGTAAGATGGAGTGCGCTATTTTTAGCAATCTCCAGTGGTTAAAGCGAGTAAATGAATAGATAACCTTCCACGTCATAGGAACGGAGACGTGCGTCTTGTTTTCAGACAGTCAATCACCGGGTTTGTTGTTATGGCGTAATCCACGATACAAAGGACAGAATTAGCATCAGGCTCAGGTGCCTACGTAGTAGTTTCATATGTCATAGCGTGACTGACACCATCACTGATTTCTGGACAGGTGTGGGCGAGAAGTGACCGCCGCAGCATCTGGCGTGGGATCAACTGAGTCCACATACAGATCAATTATTCATTGTCTCCCCAGCAGATCTCTCATTTAGAGAAATGTATCTGTCCATGAGGGCTTTAATGTCACAACACCAAAGTGTCTAATGTTATACTCGAGATTTAATGGAACTGCTACCATACTACCTCCATCAGTGCTGTGGTAAATGCGGACAGGAATATTCATTATACATGTAGTAAAATATCATGAGTCTTTGACAGTTTTTTTACACAAGCTTAGTCTCTTTATCGTTTGTGTTTGTGTTTTGAGAATGTGTGAAGCCCATTTCTGGTATCCACTGCTGTGATATTGCTGGAATATTGCTAATAGCAGCATAAAACCATACTCAGTCAGTCAGTTTGTGTTTTGCCTACAACTTATGTACACTGAATACTGTATGCCTTCATTGGTATTCAATCTGTGAATATGTATAGTGGTATAGCCGTATCGTGGTATAGCCGTACAGTGTGGACTGGGTGGAAGGGAGATTATAAATTCCTTGTACTGTGAGACAAACTTACATCATGGCATGTAGGGTTTCTTTTTCTGTCATCTTTGTTATAGATAGTTTTCAGACAAAGCAATTTGTTACTGCATGTTTTTGCTT